TGTTGTTTTTCCAGGGGGAAGAAAACATAGTCCACGCGATATATGGACTTAATAACGCAATTTCGTCGACTGTCGATCACGTTCGTGACTTTAGAATTCTCGTCATCGACAGAGAATATATAGCAGAAACGCGGGATCAGCGAACGAAATCCGAACGATAATTGCGTTTCGGAATGGTTCGATACGAGAGTATCAATTTTAAAACGAATCTTCGGCGAGAGATTCTGTGCCGGGCTGTACGGTGATATCGCATTCTACTGGCGAGCAGGAAAAAAAGAGAAAACGAAGCCGCGAAAAAGAGAAACGAGGCGGAAGCGGGGCGAACGCGATGGACGGGGAAAGATAGCCGAGGGGTTGGAGAAAAACTGAGAGAACGAAGATACGATTTTTTTTCCTGCCCCGTGGAATTCTTATTAATATACGGGGCGAGTCGTGCGCGAGGAATTGCGTGCCATTTTTACTTTCCTCTCGCGGACGTCGGGCGATACCGCCGAGCGAAAAGTTTCGCGTATTTCTTTCGGGAGGTACGACTCTCCTCGATTGTGGCCGTAGGGGAGGAAACGAGAGACGATAACCGAGGTGCCGGAAGATCGAGAATCTTGGAGCGAGGGGGAAAAGCGTGGAAATTCGGGCGGCTCGCGGGACACGTAGCGGGCGTAATGCAGCGAACGAGAACCCGAAACGCGGCTCGCAGAGTTCGCAGGGTGATTTATGGGGGCGCGTGCGCGGCTCCGGATCCGCACATGGACCGCCAGCGGAGACGTCCCCGTGTTCTCGGCGGCATACCGTTTGTAGCGTCGCGACGCGCCGGCGTCTCGCGACATAGGATCGCGTTGACAAGAATCCGCGCGTTATTTTCGGACGCGTGGCAATTCGAAAAGAAAGGAAAACTAAAAAGAAGAAGAAGAAGAAGAAGAAGGGCGGGGGTGCTGGGGCAAACGGAGCGAAATTGAACGTTAATCCGGCGCGGCGGTTCGACTCACGGAACGTCGGAACGTCGGAACGTCGGAACGGCAGAACGGCAAAACGGCAGAACGGAAGGAAGGCACGCGTGCTAGTTGCAGGAGAACGGAAGGGTAGGACGAGGTGGAGGCGGCGAGGGAGGCGGAGGAGGTGGCGGGAGGTTCCGTGGTCGGCGGGTTGGCGGCGAGCTTTCAGTCTGTCCTGCGCCGTCGAAACGAAGGAAGCGTCGTTCGGCGTCGAGCGCGACGTCGAGCGCGACGAGACGACGCGTCGGGACGACGAGCCCGTACCCTTTAGTCCGCGTTCGCTCGCCGTCTCGAGCGCGACATTTTCGAGCTTTCGATTACGCGATCGCGCGCCTCGCTTAATCGCCTCCGCCTTTCCTCGACGAGATTGGACGCGAACCAACGAGATCAGCGTTTCGCGTTCGTTTGCCTCGATCCGTTCGATCAATTAAATCCTCCCTGTCGTATCGTCATCGTTACTCGTGATCCGTGTCGTTGCGAAGCATACGTCCGAGGCTGGATCCTGACAGGCGAGCAACGAGCCACCGACAAACCCGAAACTTTCTCGACAAGGATTTATCCGAGAACTAGGTGTCGCATACCGATCGAGGTACGTCTCCTGCGACTCGTTTAATCGCGATTCCGCGCACTCGCAGATCAAAAAGGACGAGATCCTCTCCGACGGGCAATGGATTTTAAGCGCGTCGTATCGCTGGCTGATCGACGATGCAGCTGTCGGCGCAATCGGTTTAATTAACCGGCGTGTCGTGTCGTTCCGCGCCGCGGTGCTCGGTGTTCCAGCTGCGATTCAGAATTTTCGCGAACCGTTGATTTTCCGCCACTCGAGACGGAATTTTGCGCTCGATGCTCGGCTCTTAACGAGAGCTCGTCGACGTACGCGGCGCGATTTTTGACGTGGTAATTGCGCGGTATCGTTCTCCTCGCGAAAAATGGCTCCGACGAACGAGAGCGGCCTATTGTTTCCGGAATTTTTCTTGCCGCGAGGAGGGAAATTCTTTCGGTGGAGAAAAATTGCGGGCACGAGGTACTTTTTGCTCGTCGCGGGGGCCGTTGTCTCGCGCGCGCGACACGCTCGCCTCGACAAACGTTTTTACGCCTTCGACGGTGACAGAAAAATGCTATTAACGGGCACGGTCGTCGGGCGAGCTTGACGCGCGAAAAAACCAACGCTCGGTTGTTCCCCTCGTAGCCGGACAAAAATTGATTGAAACGGTATCCCGCGCGATAAACCTTTCGATATTCGGTGTCCCGAGAATTCGAATCTTTTTTACCCCCGGTCCGATTAACGTCCGATCGTTTTGAAATTTGCATCGCGTAGTTTCGCGACTTGTCGACACTTGGGAAAGAAACTTTGCCCGCCTCGACTTCGACGGTTGAGTTACCGAGTTCGAAAATGAGTTTGCAGCCGCGTATACTCGTTCGACGTCTCGCAATTGGGCGGACGCAAACTTATCCGCTTGCACGCGATTTCCAAGGTGCCGGCAAGTTTGAGAGAACGGTAATTTATATAGCCGGAAGCCGTTTCGAGAACGAAACGTTGCGAATACGACGCGAAACGTAACCGACAACGACGAATTGCTCGAGACTATTAGAAATAAAAAAATGGTTAGGCAATACCTTCTTAACCTTTTGTAAGGGAGGCCTCGTAGTCGTAGATGACGAGTCGATTTCGAAACGAGTGCAAAAGAATGTTAATTTTATCTTTGAAATATTGTGGACGAACGAGATGGTATTTACTAATAACGGTATATTCTCTCGACATAATGAACATATAGCATATTTAACCTGATAATCCTCGCGCTTTACAATGTAAACGTTTGGTGTGACATATTCGATAAGTGAATCATTGGACCTTATTCTTTTATAGGATAAAGTGCATTCGCGACACGATAAAAGTGTCCGGTAACGTAAACAAATTAATAACAAAGTGTTTAAACTGTAATGGAGGACCGTTTGAAAATTTACCGTAACACGACTATTCCGTAAAACATTTGTAAAGTACACCAAACTGGTTTAGTAAACTTTAACCTTGCTGTTTCCCCAAGTTACCGTACACGTTTGCACGTGTTTTCTTCGTAGGTGCTTTCAGACAATGAAAACTACGAAAAGACTATTAAAGATATAACATTACGAAACAAGATATATTAAGAAACACGATACCTACGAAAGTTTAAAGTTTATTTCGAGTCGTATAATCCTATATTTGTTTCGTGGTGGTGATAAAGATTGCGTTTCGACCAGCGATTCGATAGCGTAGTCGTAAGCGGTTATCGAGCCAGCGACGAAATGCAATTTCGATTGATCGATGGCTGAAACTCCGCGCTGCTATCTTGCAAAATATCACGATCGCGGGTTTAGGTCGCCGGTACGCACGAAGGAACAACCACCGTCGAGAGAATTCGAGGGATGCACGCATCGCGAACAATGTTCCGCGATTCTGGCGCGTTTACGTAGGCCGATCGGGTTGGGAAAATTGAAAGGGCAGAGCCTGCCGGCTCGACGGAACTTGGATTCGCCGCACTCGGTTCCAGCGAATAAAACCGCATCGTTCGATACCGGTTTACTGTTTCTGGTACCGTCGGACGCGGACTGGTCGGTCAGAAGCGCGAGCTTCCGTCCGATTTTCCGAGAGTTCGTCGAACCTGCGGTTTCCATTAGCCGCGGCTGCCCCTCCGTCCCTTCAACGCACCGGCGAACAGTCGGTAGTTCTCCATCGAGAGCTGGATATAAAACGCTCCGATAGTCTTTCGCGGCCGGCAAACAGTTGGGTTCATCGTCGAACAATGTAAAAATTTTCGACGGAAATTTCGTTTGTCGCGAAATCGTCGTCGACTGGAGACAAACGAATCGTTTCGAGGTAATAAAGCGGTCAGTTTCCCGCCACCGAAAACGTCGATCGAGTAAACCGATGCAGCGTCGTTCCCTCTCGTTTCCCATTTTATTAAACGGGACCCGCGATATACCGTTCGCCGCTAACATAAATTTGGCATCGCCGTTTCCTACGCTCGTTATCTCGCGAACCAAAAACCAACTTCCGACGTCGGTCTCCGATTCTTTTCGTATCGTTCAACTGTCGTAGCTATCGCGAAAATGATCGGTAGTACGACGCGGGGGGAGAAACGGGGAACAAGGAACGAGCTAAAAGACGCGCGACGGGTCCATCCTTGAACTAGGTCGGCCAGCGTATCCAGCGAATATCGCTGCCTCGTTGACGACAAATACCCTCGACTTCTTTCATGAATTGCAAATTCGCGCGTTGTTTTTTTCCCACGTTCGCCGACGATATTGCCGCGTGGCCGAGTTCAACTTTCTTCGAGCGAATAATGCCCGCGAGCTAACGGAATTATTAACTCGATCGTCGAACGTTCTCTTCTACCCCGGAATTCGCGGTCTGTCAATCGCGAAATAAACGCCACAGAATTAAGCCAGACAAACCGGACGATGGATTTCATCGGTTTCCTCGAACGTTCGGGGAAAACTCGACCAACCGATTGCTTCCATCGTAATCGAATCCCTTTGAATACGGATCTCTCGCGTTCGTTTCCGAGCCTGGGTTGGCTCTCCGCGAATGCCTTTTTCTTGCGATAATTCTGTACACGCTCAAATCGCAACACGTACATATTTACGCCAAGTTATTTCTGATACGCGACAAAAAATAGCAAACAGTACCTAGACGTGGAAATTAATGCTTCTTAACGGTTTGGTTTGTTTCAGATCGAGAGTTCGCGGGAGGATCGGAGATCGATACGAACGGGGACGGGGACGGGGACGGCCGCGTCAGCGTCGAACAAGTTTCCACCAAAGTGTTTATCGAAGAAATAAAGTGGCAAAGAACTCTGTAAAATTAGCGGAAGCGTTGGAAACGCGCGGAACGAGGAAGCCAGCCGGAAAGAGGCTGGCGAACGAGAAGGAGGGAAGGATGAGAAACGCGGTCCCGTCGAAGAAGAGGCGATCGTGGTAGGCGAAGGGGGTAGAAGCGTGGATCGAGGTGGATCCGGGTCGATCGGTGTGATGGTCTCGGGGTGGTGTCCGTGCGTGCCACTCGGCCGCCGGGAATCATCGGGCCAGCAGCAATCGGCCTCCTCTTCGAGGAGCATCGGGAACGACGGTGCACCGTTCACCGTCAGCGCCGCGACCGATCACGCAGAAATGGTCCAAATGTTCTACTACGAGAACCGCGGCAAATGCTGCAAGAAGCTTCTCCGATACAACGGATATCCGAACAAGGTAAGCACGTGCTTCTCTATCCTGTATTTCCCGCGACCCTACAAACCGGTTCACCGTTCCTAATGAATGTATCGGTAATACCCAATAACTTGAACAGAATTATATCCGCCACTGGATGCTTCCACCTACGTAGCTACTTTGCGTATTTTCTTTACTTGCGTACAATCTTCTCACGGACCGCAGAAACGAACAAAACACCCCTGTTCGAAACGTTCGTCGACTTCTTTACGGGGTTGGTTTCCAGTCGATAACTCGACAAATTTCATAGGGCATCGAATGCAGGGAACGAGGCGACTAAAGGTGGGCCGACCACCGAGGTCCTTTGAGGTTCTTGGCGAGCTGTCAGCAACAAACGACTATCGAGAAATTCAAACCAGCTCTCGAGAGACTGCACTCGAGAAACTGGAACTAGATCGCGCGGCGAGTCGTCGTTTCTTTGCACCGGGTTTTCAGTTTTCCCGCTCGCGCGTCATATCCTGGCCTTTTGTGCGCGTCAGCGTTGGTCCCGCGTTTCGATTTGTTTCGCGACCGACCGCCCGAACCGGACGTATCGAGCTGCTCGAGAGTTTCCGGGGTCTCGGGGAACGGAAGAATACGAGAAAAGGGAGAGCCGGTTCCAACTTCACGGCTTGAGAGGTTCCAAGTTTCCGAAAGCCCCCGGGGAAATAAATCGATTCGCTATCTGAATAGCCATTATGCGGACGTGGCTTGGAGGCAAGCAGGGGCGGAAGAGGATGGTGGATTGGGACGTTGGCTCGGCGGTAACGGCAGCCAAACCGTACAGCCGGAGAATTCGAAAGACGAAAGACGAAAGGGAGACAAAGAGGGAGGGCAAAGGGAAGGGAAAAGAACAGAGTCGATGCCTTATCCGTGTCTGGAAGTGGGCTAATGCTTCGGAGTTTCAAAACTCGTATCGGCCGGAATTTTCTTTCAATAACCGAGTTATTATTCATCCTGGCCATTTATTACTCTCGTAACCGGCAAGTTTTCTACTCTCACCGGCGTACCCAAGGCCGCAGCATCCTCCGCGAATCAAACTTTTTCTTTTGCGAGGGGAAGACCGTAGGCCGGAACGAAGAAAAGAGTATACGGCGAATTTCTGCCAGGGGATACTCCGATCGTCGCTCGGCCGTAAAATATCGCGTCGGAACTCGTAAAAATACGCTTACGTTTTCGAATCTCGTCCCGCCGACGACCATTACGACGGGGAACCGGGCTACTTTTTTTTTGCACAAAGATTCTATCCGGTTATCTCGTTTCAATTTCCGAGTTCGCGAAATAACTCTGCGCGGAGATTACGCCTCGTAATGCGGCAAACGCACGCGAATCGCGAGACGACCGGATAATACGTTCTTTCGCGTCTAGAGCCCGTAATCTAGGCGGATGGTAATTCTTCCCAAGAAATCTTTTCAATATGGATGAGTATGATTTCCCCGGCTGATTTCGTTATCTGCATTTTAAAGGGTACGAAACGGACTCTCCGCTTTACTTTCGTCGAAAGACGGGCCTCCCGTTTCTTCGATCCGTCCGAGTTCGGTTTCATCGGGGCTGCATGCAAAAGCGGTACGATTGTCTCCCCGGTCTTGGTTTTCCATTTCGCGTTGTTCCGGCTCGGAACGCGGAACCCCCGCGAACACCGACGAATAAAGAAAGAAAGGAAAAGGTAAACACGCGCGTTTGTCGCATCATTCCTGCGGCGTTGCTAGCCCCGATAAAAGGAGCATTGTTTAGCTCGTTGAATGGTCTAGGAGCCACCGACGCTCGACCTCCCCGACTTTCAGTGTCGTAGACGGTCTTTACGTCGGCGCGATTAAAGATATCTGAGTGAAAAGGCTTCGCCTGCCCTCGCAGCAGCTTTCTCTTTCTTCGCTAAACCATCTCGGCCATCGAAAGGAAAATGTCGCGAGACTCCGAGGGTGGAAACAACCCCCGGGGAAAAATGTGACCGCGTCAACTCTACGCTTCGAGGATTCGTCTTGTTTATCCGCTCATCGTGGCTGACCTTTCTCGCATTAAACGCCAGTTTCCGGAAACCGGTCGACGAACCTCCGGAACTCGTTAGATATCGAAAGAACGCATCCGTCCGGATTTCAAACGATGGATCGAATATCTGGGAATTGAACAAGACGAATCGTTGCTCGAGGATTTCGCGTTTGTCGTTGCGAAAGAAACTCTTGTCAAAAATGGATCGTTTGAAACTCGTTAGATATCGAAAGAGCGTATCCGTCCGGATTCGAAACGATGGATCGAATACCTGGAAATTGAAGAGGACCATGAATCATGGGTCGGGGATTTCGCGTTTGCCCTTGCGAAAGAAACTCGCGTGCTAGATTGAAAACCACTGAAAATATATATCTTTTTAAAAGCTCTTTACATTTACCAACAAAATTAAACGACATTTTCGCCTGACACCGGAAACTATTTTAACCAGATTTGTTTACCGTTAAATAATTATAAAAATAGCGACCGCTATTTTGGTTCGAAATGCAGGATTTATCGAGTTATCAAAAATGTCAAGTATTTTACATAATGAAAGCGTACAAGGACCGATATACGTGCCAGAATGCTGGTGGAGTAAATTAAAGTACGTACATATGTACATACGCATTGATTATATCGTGCGACACGGGTTGGTCGTTTTGCGCATATAAATTAATTTTTATAGAAAAACATTATCGACCAACAATATGGACTTCGGAGCAAAATGCTTATAACATATCGTAACGCGAATTGCAATATACTGCAATATGTTGCAATAATTGCAAAAAGTATGCTTTGTTATGTAGAGTTTATTTAGTGTCCAGAGATACGGAGTATCAAAATTCAAATTCGAATCAAACTGGACCCAGCGTCCAGCGTCCACGGGTTAAAGTGTTATTAGTAAATCGCGGAGTTAAAAAAAAAGGAGATTCGACCAAAAAATGTTCCGATTTTGTTTTCACGAGACGCAATCGATCTCGGGGATGATAAACGAGCGTCGAGGGGCGAGGGTTGCGACTTTCCCTAGCGTCGTTTTTTTCGTGCGACGCGAAGAAGGCTTTTCAGCCCCTACGTCCATCGAATGCTTCGCGTTCTCGTTCCCGTTCCACGAATCGATTCATTTTCCGTTCAACGATGCGTGGAAAGTATCGTTCCATTTATGCCTGCGAAGGCAACGATTATTAAACGATTCGATCCTTTGCGGTTTGCGTTCCAACTACAAAAATTTCGCGTCCTTTTGCAACGGGAAAGAAAATCAATGGACTTTCGTCCAGCGACTGCGATTTTTCGAACAAAAGGTTGCTCAGAGTGGAATTTATCGCAAAATAGTCGGCACCCCTAATTTTTACGCCTTCCGTCCGATCGGAAGCGAGCCTGTCGCACGAAAGTAATTTGTTTCTAACGAGCACAGGAAGTTTTAGCAAGTTCCTCGTTATGGACACCGATGGTCCTTTCTCCGATGCACGAAGGAGGGCCAATCGGAAGTTGTCAAGGTCGATTTATATCGTTCGAGACGACAGGACCACGGGGGTTCTTCAACTTGCAAGAACACTTTAAGTACTTGGATTCGTTGCATACATTACATCTAAAAATATCAACTTTGTATGTTCAATGCTTTGCCATTGTGAACTCTTTGAGATTAGGTCTTGTCATAGGTGTGTGTCTGATCGTTACTCGCTGTTTCTACTTATACAGAAGTGTGCACACTTGCTGTCTGTCCCGCTTGTTTACATATGCGCGTCAACGTCTATTGTGAATTGTCTGACGATAACGTGCGTTATCCAACTATGCCGTTTTGATGTCCGCAGCAACCAACACGTATCGAGCCCGACAAATCGTTCTCGACTAGGATGCTGATCGGCCAATAATCGGGCCGCTATGTATCGCTAGAGATCCTATGTGCCACATAGAAATATACAGGGTGTTCGACCACCCCTGGGAAAAATTTTAATGGGAGATTCTAGAGGCCAAAATAAGACGAAAATCAAGGATTCTAATTTGTTGATTGAGGCTTCGTTAAAAAGTTATAGAAATATTTTTGGTAAAGAATTTTTTTCTCGAAAGTACGTAGGATTTCAGGGTTATGTGTATTCACCAAAAATGATTCTAATTGATCCCTCCAACAGAAAATAATTTTCCCAGAACGATTTGAAATTTTTTAATTTTGTCAAAAAATTTGTCCACCTTCTTGAATTTTTTTCTCGAAAGTGCGTAGGATTTCGGGGTTATGTGTATTCACCAAAAATGATTGTAATTGACCACCCTAGCTGGAAATAATTTTTCCAGAACGATTTGAAATTTTTTTTTTTTGAAAAATTTAGGCACATTCTTGAATTTTTTTTCTCGAAACTGAGTAGGATTTCGGGATTATGTCTATTCACCAAAAGTGATTGTAATTGACCCCCCTAGCTGAAAATAATTTTTTCAGAACGATTTGAAAATTTTTTTTTTCGCCGAAAAATTTAGGCACCTACCCCCTGTCGATTTTTCTTAAAAATTCGTTTTTCATTTATAATAATGATGTTTGACGCGTTACAGAAAACTTGTCTAATACTTTTTTGTAGGTATCTATGAGCTCTACTTCCATACTAAATTTCAATGCGATCCGTCAACTATTGTAGAAGTTATGGCCGTTTGAAAATTGGATAAGATTTATGGGGTGTTTGTCATGTTACGAGGTCAATGCACAACTTTTCCAATATTTTTACTATTTCTACGTATTGTTCACTAAAATACGCGTCGTTTGCTTTTTGAAACATGAAAATCGTCCGATCCGTTCAGAAGTTATGACGTTTTAAAGATACGCATGAAATTTCGGAGAGACATTTCCGATCCGAAATTATATTTTCGGTAAGGAATTTTTTTCTCGAAACTGAGTAGGATTTCGGGATTATGTCTATTCACCAAAAGTGATTATAATTGATCCCCCTAGCTGGAAATAATTTTTCCAGAACGATTTGAAATTGTTTAATTTTGTCGAAAAATTTGCCCACCTTCTTGAATTTTTTTCTCGAAACTGA